TTCTCTACCAATCACATGATTGTGATTGCAAACAGATTTATTATGCACAGATAGATGAACAGCAGGAATAAATAGAAGCCTAGGATCCACAGCAAGCCAGTCCTCTAAGGCTCAAGAAAGCTGCTGAGTGTGGAAAGGGCCTTATCTGTGTGTGCTCCACATCCCACTGCAGCTGAGGGACACTGATGCACTGTGCTCTGGGTTTTATACCCTAGGTGGCACTAGGATCACCGAGAACAAGCGCTGCAGTACACCCTGTTCTGCGAGGAACAAGGACACAACATGGATTATTCTGCACATTACCTGTCTATCTCAGAAAGTTGCATTCTAAGGTTATTCTGAGAACTACAAGTTGCAGGAAGAGCTGGATTGGCCAAGATCACCCAAGGACCTATCCTCCTGTGGGTGCATTCCCAGAGAACCAATTCAGGTTAGGGGAATCATAAGACTAGTGGTATTCCAAGAAACACATTTTGGGAAATGCTAGATTAAATAGTAACAAAGTTAATACAGGACAGGTACACCTCATTTTATTTGCAGTTTGCTTTATTGTGCTTCACAGATACTACATGTTCTTTTTTTTTCTGGTTTTCTGCAAATTAATGGTTTGTGGCAACCCTGCATGGATCAAGTCTATTGGTACAATTTTTCCAACAGCATGTGCTCACTTTGTTGTGTCTCTGAGTCACATTTTGGTAATTCTGGCAATATTTCAAACATTATTATCATTATCATTATATCTGTTATGGTGACCTGTGACCAGTGATGTTTGATGTTACTATTATAATTGTTTCGGAGCACCATGAACAGAGCCCATAAAACAGCAAATTTAATCAATAAATGTTGTGTGTGTTCTCACTGCTCCAATGACCAGCTGTTCCCCATTTGTCTTTGTCTCCCCAGGCCTCTCTATTCCTCCAGACACAATATTGAAATTAAGCCAACTAATAACCTTACAATGGCCTCTAAGTGTTCAAGTGAAAGGAAGAGACGCACATCTCTAACTTTAAATAAATAGCTAGAAATGACTATGCTTAGTGAGGAAGGCATGTTGAAAGCCAAGACTGGGAAGCTAGGCTGCTTGGCACCAAACAGCCACGTTATGAATGAAAAGCAAACACACTTGGAGGAAATTTAAAGTGCTACTCCAGTGAACACACAAATGATAATAAAGCAACCCGGCCTTAATGCTGATACGAAGAGTTTTAGTGGTCTAAATAAATCAAATCAGCTACCACATTCCCTTAAGCCAAAACCGAATACAGAGCAAGATCCTAACACTACTCAGTTCTATGAAAGCTGAAAGAAGTAAGGAAGCTGCCCAAGAAAAGCTAGAAGATAGCAGAGATTCGTTCATGTGGTTTAAGGAAAGAAACTATCTCCAAAACATAAAAGTGTAAGGTAAGGCAACAAGTGCTGATGTGGAAACTGTAGCAAGTTATCCAGAAGATCCAGCTAAGATCTTGATGAGGGTGGCTACATCAAACAACAGATTTTCAATGTAGATGAAACAACTTCTACTGGAAGAAGATGCCATCTAAGACTTTCATAGCTAGAGAGGAGAAGTCCATGCCTGTTTTCAAACTTTCAAGGACAGGCTGACTCTTCTTGATAGCAGTTAATTCAGTTAGTGACTTGAAGTTGAAGCCAGTGCCCATTTACCATTCCAAAAATCCTAGGGTCCTGACAAATTATGCTAAATCTGCTCTGCCTATGCTCTATAAATTGAACAAGAATGCCTAGCTGGCAGCACATCTGTTTACAACATGGTTTACTGAATATTTTAAGTCCACTGTTGAGACCTACTGCTCAAAAAAAAAAAGTGTCCTTTCAAAATATTACTGGTCATTGGCAATGCACATGGTCACCCAAAAGCTATAATGGTGCTGTACAAGGAGATTAATGTTGTTTTCATGACTGCTAACACAACGTCTATTCTACAGCCCATGGATCAAGGAGTTATTTTGATTTTTAGGTATTATTATTTAAAATATGCATTTAATAAGGCTAGAGCTACCACAGACAGTGATTCTTCTGATGTGGGCAAAGCACATTGAAAACCTTCTGGAAAAGATTCACCATTCTAGATGCCATTAAGAACATTTGTGATTGGGAGGAGGTAAAAATATCAACATTCACAGAAATGTGGAAGAAGTTGATTCCAAACCTCATGGATGACTTTGAGAGGTTTGAGATTTCTGTGGAGAAAGTACCTGCAGATGTGGTGGAAATAGAAAAACAACTAGAATTAGAAGAGGAATTTGATGTGACTGAATTGCTGCAATCTCATGATAAAACTTGAATGGGTGAAGAGTTGCTTCTTATGACTGAGCAAAGAAAGTGGTTGTTTGAAAAGGAATCTACTGATGGTGAAGACTCTGTAAATATTGTTGAAATGACAACAAAGGATGTAGAACAGTGCATAAACTTAGTTGATCAAGCAGAGACAGGGTTTGAGAGAACTGACTCCAATTTTGAAAGAAGTTCTACTATGGGTAAAATGCTATCAAACAGCATTGCATGATATGGAGAAATCCTTTGTGAAAGGGAGTCAATCAATGCAGCAAACTTCACTGTTGTCTTATTTTAAGAAATTGCCATAGCCACTCCCAATATTCAGAAACTACCATTCTGATCAGTCAGCAACCTGACCCTGATCAGTCAGCACCTATCAACATTGAGGCAAGACCTTCCACAAGCAAAATGACTGTGAATCTAGTGGGCATGGTGGTATGGGCCTGTAGTCCCAGCTCCTTAGGAGGCTGAAGCAGGAGGACTGCTTGACCTCAGGAGTTTGAGGCTGTAGGATACTATGATAATATCTGTGAATAGCCACTGTACTCAATCCTGGAGAACACAGCAAGACTCCATCTCTTATAAAAGTAAAAACAAAAATAAATTTAAAACTTACAACTTGCAAAGGCTTAGATGATCATTAGCAATTTTTAGCAACAAAGCACTTTTTAATTGAGGTATGTGCATTGCTTTTGCAGGTACAGTATTATTGCACACTTAACAGACTACAGTATAGTGTAAACATAACTTGCATATGTTTTGGGAAACCAAAAAATTTGTGTGACTCACTTTACTGCGATATTTACTTTATGTGGTGGTCTGGAACAGAACCTGAAATATCTCTGAGGTATGTGTGTATTATTAACTCAGTAAAGTAATTTTAAGGGTCTTGTGCTGGCACCCCTCTAAGCATTTTTATAATCTTTATGGCAGTTCCATGTGGTAGGTTCTATTTTCACAGATAAGGAGGCTGAGGCATAACAGAAGTTAAGCAATTTGTCCAAAGTTGCACAACTAGAAAGTTGAGATGCTTGACTTTGCATCCAGGCAGTCTCATGCTTAACCCCTGTACTGTATAATCTCTGTGGTCTCTTTGAGTTCTGAATCCTATGGCTCTTCCATGAACTTTGATGTTTTATATTCAGCAATATGTAAAAAGACTGTTCTAACACCAAGCACTAAGGATGCTGTTCCTTGTTTCTTTTTTGCTTTATTGCAGAACAGCATTCTTTTTCATCACCTACATTTCTGCCTTTGAATCACGGATCCTTCATCTCTCAAGGCCTTCGAGTTAGAAGACAGATTTCTACTTCTTTTTGATTAAAAAAAAGAAAAAAAAAGTTATTCTGTTTTTCTTCAGTGTCCTGGGTCATTTAATAAAGTGAATGAAAAATTTTCTCATTTCTAATTTCATTAACAATAAATTATTCCTATTGCCAGAGTTCACCTTAAATCCCCAAATCAACTAGTTAAAGTAGAGGCACATCTGAGAACCTCTAGATTAAAAGAAGAAAGATAAAGTGTACAGAGACATAAATATCTTACTCTTTTGTAAAAATTGAGGCATATATACAGTTTGCTCTTTCATCTGGATTATGTTATGTTGTTTGTCCCCAACAAGAAAAGTATACTGTGGGCCAAGACTGGCGGCTCATTCCTGTAATCCCAGCACTTTGGGAGGCCTAGGTGGGAGGATTGCGTAACGCCAGGAGTTCAAGACAAGCCTGGGCAACATAGTGTGACCTCTTCTCCACCACCACCAACACCAACAACAAAATTTTAAAATTAAAAATTAGCCCAGAGTTGTGTTGCACACCTGTAATCCCAGCTACTTGGGAGGCAGAGATGGGAAGATTGCTTGAGCCCAGGAGTTCTGAGGCTTCAAGCCACTGCATTACACCCCCAGCCTGGGCGACAGGGCAGAGACCCTGCCTCAAAAAAAAAAAAAAAAAAGCCTCAATAGTGTAAATTATTTTACATAAAATAGGTCTCTATACAGTCCTATATAGACCGAGGAGGAAAACCAATGAAATATAAAGTTTTCATAATATTCATGTACAATTTCAAATAATCCTGTATATTACTATACACTAGAAAGAATATGGTTACAAAACGCATTTCCATGAGGGCTGTGATTGAGTTCCGTGTTACTGTAAAAACACTTAGATGCGCCTAACTGAAGATTTCTAGAACTGCCTGTCAACTGATTTCAGTTGTGAACACATAGTAAGCCAGCCTAGTTAGGCAGACACTCACTGCACGCCAAGGAGACAGCAACGTGAATGTGTGCTGTTGCTTTATGAATCCCATGAAAATAAATCTTGTACTCCGTGTAACAAGACTTTAACGTGCAGTAACATCCTTTCATCATTTAATATCTACTGAGCGCCTACCATACACCAGGCTCAGATATTGCACTGAACACCGACCCTGTTCCTATGAAGCCTTACACTGATGGGAGACACCTTTGCAGGTTCCACCGCCCAATTATCAAAAAACAAAAAGATAATCACGTAACCGAAACCTGGAAATCTGCCTTGGGCACACAGAAGGGCAGGCGCGACCTCGGACCAGCTCCGAGGCAAAATTCACTTAGCGCGGGACAGCGACAATGCATCCGGCCGCACCTGTGCCTGCAGTCGCATTGCTCGGAGCGGCGCGCCACTGTGACGTTCGAGGCCCCGCCCCTGATCCCTTCAAAGGGCCCCCGCCTCCTTGCGCGAAGTGCGCAGGCTCCTCGGCCGGACTTGGGTTCTGCCCGGGGACGCAGCCCAGCTGGCAGCGTCGCTCCCTGAGCGCTCCTAAGCGGGCCGCCCGGCCTTGTCTTTCGGCAGTGGCCGAGCCACCGCCGCCTGTCGCGCGTTCCAGAGCTGGGTGCTGCAGCCACAGTCCCGATCGCCGTGTTTGGTCGATAGAATCCCCAGTGTGCCCAGAGAGTGCGACCCCTCACCCGGCCCGGCGAGCCCCGGGCGTGAACCGAGCTGAGGGAGGATGGCAGCCTCCGGGGTGGAGAAGAGCAGCAAAAAGAAGACAGAGAAGAAACTTGCTGCTCGGGAAGAAGCTAAATTGTTGGCGGGTTTCATGGGCGTCATGAATAACATGCGGAAACAGGTACCGCCTCTGTGGGAGTGACGGACGACGGTGGGAGGTGGTCCGGGGCTCGGGTCCCTGGCTCCCGGCGTCGAACCCCGCGCCCTGTGGATCGCGCCCCTCTTCCTCGGTCCTCGCCCCTTCTTCCATTTTCGCAGGCGAGTCTGCAGTCGGTAGAGGGGCGCGTAAAACAATTCTCGAGCAAAAGTGCTTCTAGTCTGCGGAGGATGTAGCTCCCAAGTCAGACTCCTGGGGGACTCCTCGGGCTGGCTTTCGCCGTCGGGTATCGGTTGTGTAACAGCTCTGCCCTAGTTATCTCTTTGTGAGGCGAGGATTCTTCCACCGGCGAGCCGTTTTAAAGTGTCGTGAGATCTTGTGTGAAGAAACCCATTGGCATAGCCCAAACCGAAGCCCCCAAAGGGAGGAGAGTTGCTGGCCTGAAATCAGCTGCTCTTAAATAAGGATCCCCGCCCCCTCCAGTGTTTCCCCGGTGGAGCTAGTTGAAAACGAGTCCTCCTGTACGTGTTAATTTAGAGCAGAAGCAGCCATCGATAAATACCATGCCATCTTCTAAGGGCACTGTGCGCCCCTGTTATTAAGAGGAGCTCTTTGTTCTGTCTTTGGTGTGTGGTGCATTCATGAAAGTCTGCAGCACATCGGCGAAAGGTGGGTTATGAAAAGAACGGATTTTAACGCTGGCGAAGGTGAACCAAAGAGGCTTTATTATTATTATTTTTTAATTCCATAACATCTATACCGATAAGCATAGAAAGTCACTTTTTCCTTTCTGTAAGCTTTATTTATAGATAATACACATCTAAGGAGATTTGTGGTAATGTTTGGGTTTTGTTGACTGGGATCCTATTTCAAGAGGACAAAGCAGGATGTGAATTGCATGTAACTACAAAACCTAGTTTGCTTTGTCTAGTGGTTCTGGGAATATGGGCACAGTAGAGGAATTTAAGATTTTTATGAAGATATTAACTTCTGGTTTCTATAAGCAAACGCTGACTGCAGGGATCTTGTCTTTGTTCACCAGCTCCTGCTACAGTGCACCAGTGCAGTCTACTGGAATGCTTTTAAATCTTTCCTGGCCTTTGTGCTGAAGTACTGTGAATGTCTGAATTCGTTAATTCGTGCGACTTACTTCCATGTATCTATTTTCAAATTCATGTTCCTTTCATGTAAACCTTTTTGTATCTACAATACCACAGACTTCAAATTGCTGGTGCATTTAGCTATTGCCTGCCTGTAATGGTAGTTGAACATAGTTTACCAGTGCTTAAACTTGCTGAAGACTCATTAGGTTCCCTCCCACTCCCTCAAATATGTTTTCATTCGTGGATCATAGCATCGTAAAGCATTGCCTCAATCCCTAAATAGATAGGGTGCAACTGGGTTGCAGTAGCAAATATTTACTTGAGGAGGAGAGGATTATCTGAGACTGTCCATTTAGCTCTTTGGATTTAAAAATTGACTCACGTTTCCTAGCTTTGGAGTATATTAACATCACTTATTTACTGTTACAATAGAAATACAGTTACTGAAAAATCAGGGTTCTGTTACTGAGTAGGAAGGAAAAAATGGTTACTTGGTGAACAACCAGGGATCCCCTCCACAATGCTTAACTGACCTTAATCTGCCAGGTTCTCCTTTTGTCAGTGGTTTGGCATGTGATTCAAACAGTTCTCCGATAGCACTTTTATCAACTTCATGGAATCATGCATCTTTTGCAAGATGTGCAGTTTCACTTTGCAATTGATTTACATTATGGTTATATTGTATTGTCCTGTTTAACATCATAACACAGGAAATAATTCACCAAGAATGACTGACAAGGGCAGTTGATGGGAATTGGCAGAAACAGTAGCTGGCCTGAGCCAGAGGAGGAATGTTTGAGCGAGGACCAACTTTATAAGTGCTCTTGTTCTTCAGTAAATATTTTTGTGTTATGACTAGTTTTGCATCCCTTTACAATCTCATTGATTTAAGGATCAGGATAATGAGTGCTTAGATGACGAGGACCCCTCTGTAAACATCCGGAAACATTCCTTCAAAAATTTCAGAACATTGTGAGATTAACATACCTCAGTTCCAATCCCTGCTCTCTCATTATTTCATTTTGTTATTTTAGATAACATGATTTAGGTCATTCCATCTCTCTATAGCATAGTGGCCAATTCTATATATCGAGGCAAAAGGGGCTTCTGCAGAGCCAGCAGCCTCGGCTTCTTCTAAAGCCTTTTCCTACATTGTTTTTGTCATTTCTAGCCTTTTGTTTCTAAGTAAACTCTCCAGTGAAGTATGGGATACATAAAAGAGGGCACAAATCATAAATGTACAACTCAATTATTACAAAGTGCACATCCCACCAACAAGACTAGAACATGACCTGTACTCCAGAGGTACCCCTTATGCCCTTTTCAGCCACTAACCACAGTAGTAACAACTATTCTAACTTCTGTAATCATAGAAGTTAGAGCAGAAGCAGCCATTGATAAATGCCATGCCACCTTCTAAGGGCACTGTGCGCCCCTGTTATTAAGAGGAGCTCTTTGTTCTGTCTTTGGTGTGTGGTGCATTCATGAAAGTCTGCAGCACATTGACAAAAGGTGGGGTTTTCCTGTTTTTGAACTTATATAAATGTAATCATATGGCATAAACTCTTGTGTTTTGATTTCTTAAAGCCAACATTGTTTGTGAGATTATTCTGTGCTTTGTGTAGCACTACTTCATCCTTGTGGTATATAGTATCCCGTTGAATGAATATAGCACAATTTATCCATTCTATCATTATGGACATTTGGGTTATTTCTAGTTTGGGACTATTAAGACTAGTACTACTTTGAACATTTTTGTACACTTTGTACATACCTTTTGGTATGCATATGTATATATTAATATTTGTGTTGGGAAATACCAAACAAGAATTTTTGAGTCATAAGCTATATCACCTTCAGCTTTAAAAGATATTGTCACGTACTTTTCCAAAGTGATTGTACCATGTTATGCTTCTGCCAGTTGTGTGAGAGAGGCTTTTGCTCCGCATCCTTGCCATCACTTGATGTTGTCAGTCTTATCACTTTAGCAATTCTAACTGGGTGGCATCTTATTTAATTGGATTGAGTACTTTTTCATGTATTTCTTTAACTTTTTGCTTAGATTAATGTTATTACCTGATATGTAAAATAGAAGCTTTACAAGGCAGGTCTGGGTCACAATCACTATTGCACATGCACATTGCTGTTGCCATACTCTTCTTTTGTGTTAATGAAGTCCAGGAGTCTCTTAACATTGGAGGAAGATGTTTTAAGACCTTCCTGAGTACCAACATAGTTTGTAGTTTCTCCACATTAAATGAATTAAAGCATAATTGGAACTTGAAAGCTTATGTTAAAGTCCTTATTGAGAGTTATGTGAGAGAACTACAAAGCTGATTTGACAATTAGGTACTGGGCAGTTAACTGGGCTCACCTGCTGGCTAAAATGACTTTGCTTCTGTATTCTTATCTGTCTGACTGTAAATTACTACTTGTCATTATCTTTAGGTCCTCTTGTGAATAATCTAAACCTTTAGTGTTAAACCCTTGATAATAATAAGACTTCTTGAGCCCTTATAACTCTTTTCCAGCCACTTTGCAGAATGTTTTACATGCTTTGTCTCATTTAATTCTCTTAACTTTCATTGACAACTCCAGTCATCCAGACCTTTCTATTCTTTTTCCTGTACTTTACTGTTTTCTGTTTTTTTCTGTCTGTCCAGCTTAGAAGCTATTGTCACTCCACTGTCTCTCCAGTGCCCCAGCTTTCTTGACCCTCTGTCCCTTTTTCATGTCCATCTGGCAAACTTCAGTATTGATGACTGATTACCTTCTTCATGCACGGCTCCAAGCACAGCTGGAAAATATCTCATTATTGGGCAACTTCTGCCAAGTAAGTGCTTGGCCACTAATTTCCACTAGACTATCAGTGCCGGTGAGCAATCTTTTTGTTTTACTATTTTCCTCCAATCTGAGTCTTTTCTATAGATCCTCACTTTCAGCAGATCACCCTCTTTTGACATCATAGATAAATAGAAGTCATTAGTCTAGAACTATCTACCTTTTCACTTTCTACCACCAGATCTATAAACCTATTTTGACACTTTCCCTTTTCTCTTCTTATCCTGCTACAATGGAGATGCTGCTTCTTTTTCTAAGGCCAGTACTTCTACCTAGGCTTTGGCTTCCTGGATGCTGGGTTTCTCAGAAGTATTATACTGTTGGTTATTCCATCTTTGTTGAGCATCTTTAACTTTTCTTCTTTGCTGGATTCTTGCTATTGGCACTTAAGCTTGCTTTAACCTCTCCAACTTTTGAACCAACCAACCAGCAAACCCATTCTTAATGGGTTTAATCAATGTACCCCTGTAAATACTTCTTTCCCCCCATTAAAATGAGAAGTTGAGTAAATTCACTACGTTTTCTTAGTCACTATTTATTTATTCCTCTAGTTCAATTTGGCTTGCAAGCTCATTCATTGAAATGAATACTTATTGACAACCCACTGTATGCTAGACATTTTGCAAGATTCTGGGGTTGCAATGATAAGCAAACCCTGACAGTCCCAATCCTCATGTGGTTTATAGTCTAGTAGAAAAGCCAGATATTAGTCAAGTAATCACACAAATAAATGTAATATTGCAACAGTGATAGGTATTACACAAGAGAATAACATGGTACAATGAGGGCATATGGGTGGGTAATTTGACCATCAGGAAGTTTTCTCTAAGGAAGTGGTCATTGAGAGCTGAAATAGGAGTAGGTGTTAACTAGGTAAAGAGAAAAGGGAAGAGTGACTCAAGTAGAGGGAACAACATATTCAGAGGCTCTGAGTTGGAGACCTACTTTATTATAGAATGGCAAGTTTGAGACTGATTAAAGGTCAGTGTAATTGGAGCATAGAACATAAGGAGGACAATGGTTCTAGATGAAACTGGTGAAGTAGCTAGGGACCTGCCCATGCATAACTTCATAAGTCAA